CGCGGGGAGGCAGGCCCACCGTTCCCCCGCAGGCCTCCAGCCTCCTTGGGCACAGTATCGAGACGGATGCAGCGTGGATGGGAAATCTGGAGACTTGGGGGCATTTCAGCCAGGGGGAGCATTCAGAGGGGTGAGATCCTGTCCTGAGCTAATATAGAGGCCTGGGGGCCCAAGGCGCTTCCCGGCCGGCGCTGCCCAGCACCCACAGACACTACCTATGTGCATAGCCTGGAGGCCACCGCAGAACGGGCTCTTGGTTAAGGCGACAGACGGTGGTGCTCCCCTTTTGGGGGATGGATGGGGGACGGGGCCTGGGGAAAGGGACCCTCTAGGAGGGGGGCCGGGTGTCCCCGACGGCCTGGGGTGTCCCAGCACAGAGCGTGGCCTGCGCCGGGGGACACCGTGTGCTGCCAAAACCCACCGGCTGGGATCGGTGCCACCAGGAAGAGCTGCCAGCTGGATGCGTCCCTCTCTGCGCAGCCCGGAGCAGCTGCCAGCCCAGCAGGGAGACGGGAAACCTCGCAGCATCCTTCACATTGGGTGCTGCCCACGGAGACGCCTCTCTGGGTGGCTTTCCCCAGGCTCCCTGCCCTGAGAAGGATGGTGCAGCCTGGCTTATACCAGCATGGTCTTCCTTACACCCTGGGAGCAGCAGAAATTTTGTGGAGCCTGGGGACAGTGATCCCAGGCTCCTCTGAGGGCACACAGGAGGCTTTATATCTTGCAAGGCCACTGTAGTGCAAGGCAGCTGCCCCCGGAGGGCAGAAAAGCGGGATAAGGCTCTGCACTGAAAGGGGGCAGGCAAGGAGGAGAACTCGTGATCTGCATTGCTGTGACTCTGCCATGGTCTGTCTGTCCTGGCACCCGCTGGCACACGGTGCAAGACGGGCCCGGTGCTCAGCCAAGCTGGCACATGGGGAAGGACAGGGAGAGGCAGGAGAGGCGCAGGGGATCTGCTGCCTCTGCCAGAGCCTGATCCTGGGGAGGAGGATTAGGAGGAGGAGGAAGGCCGGGAGGAGAGAAGCACCCGGGTTCAGCAAGCCATGGTGCTGAAGAAGGCATTGGCTTCCAAGAGCAGTCCCTTGGCGTAGGCCCGCAGGGTGTAGAAGAGGGTGACGAAGTCCTGAGTGCTGAAGAGGGTGTCAGCCAGGGCGAAGGCGAGCGTGGAGGGGATGAAGCCCCGGCCGTACTCCACCATCCAGGTGCCTGCGCTCCACTGCACGGACGTGGCCTCTCCCGCCTGGTGCACGATGGTGTCCCCTGCCAACACACAGGTGGGCTGTTGCTCCCACTGCTGGATGGCGCCCAAAGAGGGGACATGTGTCCCAAACCGCAGTGCTGAGCACTCTGAGTCATGTGCCACACGTCAGGTTGGGCTCTAAACCCTCCCAGACTTGCTCACTGGGGAAACCAGTCCCTTCCCTATTCCTGGCACCCACTACAAGACTGGGATGTACTCAGATTATGAAGTCACCCATGTGGAGCTCTTGGCTTCTGCCAGGTGCAAGCAGCGGGCTCTGTACCACGGCACAGGATCAGGACACAGAGCAACCATGGACACAGCCAGACATGCAGGGCACCACTGCTCCCATGCTTACCTGGATAGTAGATCTCACTTCTGGTGGTTCCCTCTTTCCACTGCCGGAAGGTCCCCGAGATGACGGTGTCAGAGATATCTGCCCAGTACCGACCTGAGGGAGGACACAGGGCACCAGCTCAGTGAGTGCCTGGCAGGGTCCTGACTGAAGGGGGACAGCTTGGTGGCTCAGATCAGAGGTGCAGAGGGCTCTCCACAGGAAGGACACCAGCCCTAGAGCCTCAGTACAGCCCAGGAGAGCTCAGAGGTCCCACTGGGCCGGGACTGGTACCCAGACCCGCTGTGTAACTGGCTGCATCCCGACAGTCCAAGCTGCTTGGTGTCTTTATGCCCCCTTCGCTCCCAGCCCGTTCTGGGACTGGCTCCCTCAAGGAGC